AAAATGGCCATACTGCCCAAAGTAATTTACAGATTCAATGCTATCCCCATCAAGCTACCAATGACCTTCTTCACAGAACTGGAAAAAAACACCTTAAACTTCATATGGAACCAAAAGAGAGCCTGCATAGCCAAGTCAATTCTAAGCAAAAAGAACAAAGCAGGAGGCAACACACTACCGGACTTCAAACTATACTACAAGGCTACAGTAACCAGCGTGTGTCACTTCCTTACACCATCAGAGGCTCTCCAGAATCAAGTTCAGCCCCTTAGCCTGATACCTAAGACCCTCACGCCCTCCTCTCCTGTGCAATGCTTGCCGCTCTTGAAACGTCACATTGCTCGTATCCCCTCACCCTACCCTGCCGTCTCCTCTCTGCACACCTTCGCTCAGGCCTCTCCCCACCCACAATGACATTTGCTCTTCTTTTCACTTTGACCGCTCCTATTCATCCTCCAAGATTCTGTCCAATTCTTATCTTTTCTATAAATTCTCTGACTTCCTTTAGACAAGTACACCCGTGGAAGGAGCTAGATGGATTGACTGAGCACATGCTGCCATCTCTCTAACCAGGCCCATCCTCCAAAAATGACAGGGAAGAAAAAACATGAGTGTTCTCAAAAAGATAACAGGAAACGTGCAGAGAAGCAGAAGCACTGACACGTTTCTGAGGAGCCGCAAGCAGACAGGATCGGATTTGACACTGCAGCCCAGCTCATGAGCAGCGGCCAAGGACATCCTACATGTATCCTTGTGTCTACATATTACAGTATATACTGCAAATGTGGGAGCAGCAGCAAGGCACTCCACGCCCAGAGATGGTGAATGCCTGGAACAAGATGGGACCAATGGGCTATTGACAGAGGGTTAGACAAGTACACCCGTGGAAGGAGCTAGACGGATTGACCCTGAATATTTCCCTCAACCCCACCCCGGCAGACAAGATGACCAGAACGGCAGTGTCTGTCTCCTGGTAGGAGCTGTGTTAGGGAATGAGAGACAGGACACGGCCCCACACGACTGGCAAAGCCAAGGAAGAGTAAGTAGCAGCCACACCCCAAAGACCAGCTGTGAGAGCACGGCCATCCACCTGGTGGTGCTGCCTGGTCCGCACTCTCCTGGAAAGCAACACGGAGCACAGGCTCCTCCAGTGATTTCCAGAGCAAGACTCTGCCTCAAAACAAACAAACAAACAAACAAACAAACAAACAAACAAAAAAAACACCCAAAATATTAATAACTAAGAGATAACAAAAGCATGGCATATTAAAACTTGTGATATTCAGCTCAAGCAGACTTTTGAGGGAAATGATAGTCCCATGTACTTAATAGAAAATAACAGAAGAGGTGGGCACAGTGGCTCATGCCTGTAATCCCAGCACTTTGGGAGGCTGAGGCAGGCAGATCACCTTAGGTCAGGAGTTCAAGACCAGCCTGTCCAACATGGCGAAACACTCTCTCTACTAAGAGTACAAACATTAGCCAGTTATGGTGGCAGGTGCCTGTAATCCCAGCTACTGGGGAGGCCGAGGCAGGAGAATTGCTTGAACCCTGGAGGCAGAGGTTGCAGTGAGCCAAGATAGCACCATTGCACTCCAGCCTGAGCAACAAGAGTGAGACACTGTCTCAAAAATAAAATAAAATAAAATAAAATAAGAAAGAAAACAACAAAATATTTTGAAAATACATGACTCTAGTGTTCAACTCTAGAAACCAGAAAAAACAAGAGAGTTTTCACTTGTCTCTCTATTGGGCACCAAGCACATGACCAGTCACAGTGGCTGTACTCAACCGTTGTTTGTTGAAGGAGGCAATGTTAGAAAGATTACTACACCTTATGTACCCACAAAAATTTTTAAAAGCTTTTTTTTTGAGATGAGGTTTCACTCTTGTTGCTCAGGCTGGAGTGCAATGGTTTGATCTCAGCTCACTGCAGCCTTCGCCTCCCAGGTTCAAGTGATTCTCCTGCCTCAGCCTCCCAAGTCGCTGGGATTACAGGCTCCTGCCACCACGACCGCCTATTATTTTGTATTTTTAGTAGAGATGGGGTTTCACCATGTTGGCCATGCTGGTCTTGAACTCCTGACCTCAAGTGATCCACCCGCCTCTGCCTCTCGAAGTGTTGGGATTACAACTGCAAGCCACCGTGCCTGGCCCTAAAAATAAAACTTTTTAAAAAGGAAGCTTATACACCATACTATTCAGAGCTATATAGCACGTCATCATTTTTTACAAGGCACTCACTTTCTCTTACCTCTTGTCATGTTTCTATGAGCCCTGGGAAACAATGAAGCAGGGATGTTTTATGGATTTGTATAGGTCTCATTGAAGATTTTATACGTGAGAAAGCCGAGGCTTAGAGGATGCATGACTTGCAAGTGTCAGAATCAGAACTGTAATAGATCTCAGACATTTGAACACCGAGTACGGCGTCTTTTCCTTCACACCGCGTTTTCTGGGGGTGACTGCGTGGTGACCTCTGCCATTGGTCTTGAGGATTAGGACATCAGCTCGGGCCCTCTGCAGAGCCTCCTCAGTCCCTAGCACCTTGCTGGCACCTAGCTGGGGCTCACTGCAGGATTGTTTGAAAATTATAGAAGGGTAAGCACAGGGGTAGATTCACTATTCTGGGTTTGACACAGAAAGAATTCCTGCTGGATGTATACACCTTTCTGGTCTGACACAGAAAGCATTCGCTCAACCACGGAGAAAAGTGGGCCGTTCAAGGAAGCTGGCCTTCGTGGGCGCTGTGCGGCTGCAGGGCGGGCGCGGGCGTCCAGGCACGGGGCTGGGTCGGTGCCAGGTGACCTTCCTCGACTAATCCCCGGGCCGAGAGAGAGAGAGCCTGGAGACATTACTTGCCCAGGAACGTCGCACTGGTTTCGTGGGGGCTTCACACCCGTGCCCCGAGTCCCGCCGTCTCTTGCGCCGCAGCGGGCGCCCCCACCAGGGTAATAACCCACTCTGAGAGTCTTTCTGGTACCTCTGACCCTCTGCTCTTCGGCTCCCGGCGGCGTTTTCTCCGAGCTGCTCTGGAGCCTGTGGCCTGAATTTCACCCTCACTCACCCACTCATGTCCAAAAAATGTGGTTCAGCCCCGAAGGAGAGCCGCGCCTGTTGGTGGGGGACGGGAGTGTTGGAGCGGCCACGGGTTATGACTGAGCGCCCAGGGCCCTTCGTGAGGCCAAGGCCAGGCTGCCCCAGGGCGCGGTTTCTGCCCGGCACCCGCACACCTGACCGGGCAGGAAGAAGGTCAGAGCCTCCCCTTCAGTCCAGGACCTGACTACCTCACTCAGTCCTTCCCGCTTTTATTGTTCAGAACTACTTTAAAATGCAAATCAGGCTGGGCGCGGCGACCGGTGCCTGTAATCCCAGCACTTTGGGAGGCTGAGGCGGGCAGATCACTTGAGCCCAGGAGTTCCAGAGCAGTCGGGCCAACATAGCAAAACCCCGTCTCTACAGGCTCAGCGCCTGTAGTCCCACCTACAGGAGAATTGCTTGAACACGGGAGCGGGAGGTTGCAGTGAGCTGAGATCGCGCCACTGCTTTCCAGCCTGGGCGACAAAGCAAGACCCGTCTCAAAAAAAAAAAAAAAAAAAAAAAAAAAAAAAAGGAAATCGAACCAGCAGCTTGTTTGTAACAGCCAAACGTAGGCAACAACAAAAAATGTTCTTCAGTAAGGAGGTAGGTAATGAAGAACGGTGACGAGCACGATGGCGCACAGTGTGCAGTTGTTGGGAAGAACCAGGTCTGTCCGGGAGCGCTTGTATGGAAAGACCCTCCAGGATATAGTCAGTAAAACAACACGTTGCAGAAAAGTACCGCAACATCATTTTGTAAACCATATGTTTATGTAAACACACACACACACACACACACACACACAATGTGTTCAAGAGAGATATTTGGAAGGACATACCTAACAGTGGGCTCTGGGAGTCGAGGGAAGAGTGAATCTTAATTTTTATTCAGTTTTTGAATTTTTTATTTTTACTTTTTTTAGAGACCAGGTCTGGTCTGGAAGCCCTCTCTCCAAGCTATCCTCCTGTCTCGGCCTTCCAGAGTGCTGAAATTACAGGCGTCAGCCATCACTCATTTAAAAAAAAAAAATTATACCTACTATACATGCATATATTATCTCCATGACCTTTCAAAAATATGCCTTATTTTTAGAATGGCTTTAGATTTGCAGAAAAAGTGTGAATACAGGGAGTTCTCATAAACCCGGGGTTTTCCTATTAATATTCACATCTTATATTGGTATGGCGCTTTTGCCACGGTGAGTGAACCCAAACTGAGGCACTGAAGTCCATATTGTATTCAGTCGTCCTGATTTTCTACCTACTGTCCGTCCAGGATCCCGTTCGGGATACCACTTTTCATGCCATTTTTATATCTCCGTGGGTTCCTCGTGGCTGTGACAGTGGCTTAGACTTTCCTGGTTTTTGATGACCTTGCTAGTTTTCAGGAGTTCTGGTCATGTATTCTGTGGCAAGGGCCTCAACTGATCTGTGATGTTTTTCTCATGATTACAGTGGGGTTAGGTGTTCTTGGGAGGAAGACCACAGCGGTGTCTGCAGTCAGCATGCATGATTTACCCCTGTCGAGGTCACCCTGACGGCTGGGTGGTTTGCTAGGTTTCTCCGCGACCGCTCCCTTCTCCAGCTACGGTGTGTGACCTTCCCCCTTCCTCCGCACCACTGAGTGCTGCCATAAAGGAATTTTCAGTGTAAAACATTTTCTTTACCTTAAAGTGGGTCACTAACGACGCACTCGAGGCTGGAGGGGCTTAGGAAGTGCCCACCCCTCCGGGAGGGCGAATGCCACTCTGCGCGGCACCCGGCGCCGCAAGCGGTTAGGGCTGCAGAGGACCCTCCCGAGCCCGAGGCGTCCCGGGGCGGCTTCGCAGCCGGAAGGCCCGGGCTCATTTCGCGCCCGCCCCGCCCCGTCCTCATCTCGGGGGCGGGGCCGCGCCCAGGCCCCGCCCTTCCCCGCCCTGCCCCCGGCGCCTAGGGCAGCCGCGCCCGCGGAGTTTTCCGCCGAGCGGGCTCCTCCTCCCGCCCCGCCCTGACGGCTGCGGCGCCCGCGACTCACTGAGTGCCCCGAGTGCCCCGCGAGCGCTAGAGGGACCCAGCCCTAGGCAGAACCCAGGCGCCGCGCCCGGGACACCCGCGGAGAGAGCGACTCCCTCCCACGTCCCGGTTCGCCCCTAGCGTCCCGGGTCCCCGTGGCCAGGTGAGTGAGAGTCCCGGGCCGGCCGGGGGCCTGGGACCGGGCGGCGACAGTGCACCGCGGCCCCGCGGGTGAGGCCCGGGGCTATCCAGCGCCGAGCCCAGGGCGGCCCTGCGTCTTCCTGGTTGCACGGCAGGCATGGGGTGAGGGGCAGAGGAGGGCGTCGATGGGTCCCGGGCGGGCTGTGTCGGCCTGGCTGCCCCCTGGATCAGCTGCGGCGTCGGGAGCTGCCCCCTCCCGTGGGATAGGGGTGCACTCGCCGGGCCCCCTGGGCTCAGGGGTCAGGGCTCAGTCTGAGTCTGGTTAGGGTCAGGGGCGCTCGCGATGGCGGGCCCGGGGCCTTGACCCTGCGCGCAGTAGGCGGCCGGCAGCAAGGGGGATGCCGGAGGCCGAGCCCCTCCTCCGCCCCTCGGAGCCTTCTAGGGTGCGCGCGCCCTTCCAGGCAGGGCTGGGGAGAGCAAGCAGAGAATGCTTTTCTCAGGACTTTCCTCCGAAACTGGGAGCACGCAGATTCCTGGGAGCTGCTACCATTGCAGTTTATTTGCAAGGAACTCTCCCCAGTGTTTGAGAGAATGCGGGAACCATCCCAGGTGCTGTGGCTGCCTTCGCCCCTTCCCCAGCCTTGATTCCCAGTTTCGGAAAGGGATTCCAGGACTTGGATCTCCCCACGGGCACAGGCCAGGCTCTTAAGACTTAGAAAGATAAAACCCTCTGTTGGTTTCAAGGACAGATGTGGAGTTTGTCACCTAGACACTTTGGTGGAGAAAAGTTAAGCCAGCCAGTGCTAGCCCAAGCTGGGAGCAGTCGGCCCGGGCATTTCTGTCTCTGCCCTCCAATCAGTGACCTCTCTGTGGAGACTGGGCATTTGTGGTAACTCTCCCCTCTGTTCTCTACCCTGGGCATGGCGTGGAGCTGTAAGGCCCAGCCCCTCCCCTGCCCTGCCCTGCCCGCACAATAGGGACTAAAGGCTGGCAGGGCAGAGCCTGGTATGCTCACCCCTCACTGGCTTTCTTTGCTTTCCTCATTCCTTTTATGCGGCAGTCAGTTGTTGGGGATTCCAGGAGGATTAACGGGCCCCTTTCCTCAAGGCATTCTTTGTGCTGCAAGGTGTTGCCTGGCAAGAGAGGCCAGGTGAGGTGCCAAGGCAGTTTGTTGCCCTGGTATTGGGTACCCACTACCTTTGGGTGCATACTTCGCTATCTTGTCTCTATTATTGTCTGTGCTTGGTTTTCTCATCTGTAAAAGGCTTGTTGTCAGATTCAGTGCATTCGTTTATTAACAACCATACAGCGCTTAGGTATGGCAGGTGGTGACTGCTGCACCATACTTTCTTGTCCCAGGTGGGTGTCACCCGGATTAGCCATAAAGTGGGTGAGGCAGGCCTGGCTCATAAGTAATCAGGTGTAAGGATCAAAAAATAGTAGCAGTGGAAGGTCCAGCTAAAGTCGAAATGCGCTTCTCCTGAACCATCTTTCTTGCTTAGTTCATCCTAAGCTCATGCTCTCTGTCTTCCTGAAATGCCCTCCCTCCCTTGTCTTGCCCAGGATTCTCCACCCTTCTCGGAGCCATCTGGGTGCTGCTCCCTAGCAGGAGGGATGGGATATGCTCTGAGCTCACTCAGCCCCTCCGGCACTGACCCAGTTCTCATCTCTCGCATTGCATAGTATTTGCATGACCATGTGGCTTATCTCTGCCCGGTCCTCTGACTCTGGAGGGTGGGGCCGTTCCTAACTTACCTCTTGGTGACAGCACTCAGGATGGGCCTTGCCTAATATAGGTGCTCAGGAAGTTAGTAGTCGTTAATTGAACAACAGAGGCAGCGCAGGGAAGTGGTTTTCCTGTGGTTAAAATATGGGACCTTGAAGGCTGGGTTTGGATAGGCAGAGAAAAGTGGGGAGGGTGAGATGGAGATGAATTGGGACCAAGAGGTGGGAGTGGAAGTCCTATCTGATGCCTTTATGCATGATATTTTAGAAGGGGCCCACCCCGGGTGGATGTGTCTAGAAGGCCAGGATTGATTAGTGATGCCTAGGTAATGTGACTGGGGAAGTGCTGTGTGGCCTGGGATGACAGGAGTGGGAACTGAGACAGAATAGGTTAGTGTGGGTTCTTCCTGGGAACTCACTGTAGAAGAGAAACTGGTGTGGGCAGGAGGTGAATGTGGAACCATAATGCCTGCTGAATGCTGGAACATCAGAGGTCCCAGAACTTTTCTGGTGTACCCCCTCCTTCCTCTTGGATTCACCCCCCTTCTCCCTCTCTCTCTCTATTTTTTTCTTTTCTTTTCTTTTCTTTTGAGATGGATCTCATCCTGTTGCTCAGGCTGGAGTGCGGTGGCACAATCTTGGCTCACTGCAACCTCTGCCTCCCGGGTTTAAGTGAGTCTCCTGCCTTAGCCTCCTGAGTAGCTGGGATTACAGGCATAGGCCACCATGCCTGGCTAATTTTTGTATTTTTAGTGGAGACAAGGTTTCACCATGTTGGCCAGGCTGGTCTTGGACTCCTGACCTCAAGTGATCTACCCACCTCAGCCTCCCAAAGTACTGGGATTACAGGTGTGAGTCACCATGCCTGGCCTCCTCTCTCTTCTTAGCCACCATCTTTTCCTGTAAGCTTGAAGCAGTTCCTGACACTTGGTTCCATAAGGAAGCATCCATGCAAGGGTATGCTTCACCAGCACAGCCAAGAAAACAGACTTTTCACTTTCTCTGGATTTTTCTCTACAACACCCTCTGATCCCATTGCCCCCAGAATAGTAGGAATTTTGAGTGATACCTAGGAAAGCTTTTAGGATTAACAAAGAAACTGAGGTTTTCTTGGTGGGAGTTTGCATTTTTAAGGGAGTTGTTGAAATTCAGTGGAGCTGTCTGATAACCACTGAAACTGTTACACATTAGGCTTACTGACCCTCTCTCCTATAACCCATGAAATAAAACCTGATAGTCCTATAGTTGTTTGTTATTTGGGAAGATCCTGAAAGTACAGCCTGAACAGTGACCCAAACCACTGCTGGCCTTGCCCACGCCGATGTGAGGAAGGAACAGGTAGGGCAAGCAAGGAGTTGGGGCACAGAGTTCTCTGTGCTGGGTAACCTGGGACAAGCCACCCAGCCACACAGAGCCCCCATGTTCCGGATGATAAAATGCCTGCCCGGAATGGAGAATCAGATGAGAAGATGTTCCAAAGGGGTTTGAGATAAGGGGGTGGTGCTGACAGTGTTGATAATCGTGGGCGTATGACTGCCTGGAGCTGTGAAGCCGTGGGTAGAGCATGTGGTGGTCAAAGTTTGGTTCTGCGATCTCTAGTTTTCCAGGGGCTTGGGCCCTGCCTTAGCAGAAAAGAAGGAAAGGAGATTGAGAGGGAAGTCAGGTGACCCCTGCCCCTCACACCTGGGAGCAGCTGGCATGGAGGATGTGAGATGGGGGAATCTAAGTGAGGGCAGAGAGGAGAAACGTGGAGGCTGCTCACAGGGAGGCTGAGGGAGCAGATCCAGCCTGGGGAGTGGCACCACTGGGGGAAAGGGCACGTGTGTCAGTGGGGAAGGAGTGGTGACGATGCATGTGAGCTTGCTGCATGTGAGCTTGCTGCGTCTACTAAAAAGGTCATGGCTATTTTTAGGAAGTAGGTGACAAGGCATGTTCCTGTAGAGCTGCTCGTTGCTGAGCAGTCGGCCTCGCCCTTCGAGGTGTGTATAAAAGGAGAGACCACGCCCACTCACCCTAGAGTCATCCCCCTGGTGTCCCTGAGACCTGGGACACTGGATGAGGACCAGGTTTGGAGGATGAAGATCACGTATTTGGTTTTGGACCTGTTGTGTTTGAGGTGTCTTTGAGATACCAAATAAGCTGGTGGATCTGGGGCTCAGGGGGTGTTGCCTAGACAGACATTTGTCTAGGTTGTGTTTGTATTTGAAGTTGTGGGCACGGTGAGATTGAAGAATTCACCTCAAACAGCTGAGTAAAGGAAGATGAGCCTATAAAGGACCCAGAAAAAGAGCGGCCTGAGAGGGGCCCAGAAAGCAAGGACAGAGTTGTATCAGGAGCCAGGGTGGGTCTGCTTTGTGGAATAGAGTGGTCAGCTTGGCATCGCGGCTGTGGTAAGTGACATGGAAGAGATGCGCCTGCCTTTGCTGCTTCGGTGGGATGATGGCAGCAGTTGGATTGAATGGGTAAGGAGTAGCAGGACGTGAGGATCTGGTGATAGTAAGTTTAGACAGGCTCTGAAATGTTGGCTTTGAAGGCAAGGAGGATGTCGTTGAGGCAGTGTTTGATTCTGTTTCCTCAATTTACCCTCCTGCTCCCTTTCACTGCCACTGACATCCCTCCCCACAGTGCTCCAGGCTCATGAGACCTAGGTGCCTGCAAGGGTTTGCTCCTCTCACAAAACGGATTCATTCTCATGAATGAATGAATGAATGAATGAATGAAGCATGTTTCCCAGTCTGGTCTCAAAGCTCTGGCCTCCAGCAATCCCCCTGCTTCAGCTTCCCAAAGTGCTGGGATTACAGGAGTGAGCCATTGCACTTGGCTGGTATTAAATTTTCTTTGTGGCCAACTGCACGATCAATATTAACATATTTGATGGACGTGAAAGGAGAAAATAGGTACTCTGTGGGACGCTGACTTTAGATAGATCTGTTAAGTTCAGTTGTCCTTATATCCCTGCTTGCCTGGCTGTCAGATTCTGGGAGGTATGACAAAAACTCTCACTATAATGTGTGTGTTTGTTTGTTTTGAGATGGATTTTCACTCTTGTTGCCCAGGCTGGAGTGCAATGGCTCCATCTCGGCTCACTGCAACCTCTGACTCCTGGGTTCAAGTGATTCTCCTACCTCAGCCTCCCTAGTAGCTGGGATTATAGGCCCCCACCACCACTCCCAGCTAATTTTTTGTATTTTTAGTAGAGACAGGGTTTCACTATATTGACCAGCCTGGTCTCAAACTCCTGACCTCAGGAGATCCACCTGCCTCAGCCTCCCAAAGTGCTGGAATTACAAGCATGAG